TGTATGTGTCTTCCGATGGTCGTAGGTGACCCCTGTGAAAGGTTCATTCAACCCCCAAAAGGGTCACTACCCACAGGTTGAGAACCGCTGCCATAGACTTTTCAGTCCCATTTACAGTGAGCACCTGGGTTTACTCCCTAGGCAGGATGGGCGGAACACGGGCAGTCTTACCTCCACTTTCAATGAGGACATCCAGGAGTTCGTCCATCTGCTGACTGCGAGTCATTTGCTATTATGAATTAACCAAAGGAGGACAGAGAAGTCAGAAGGTGGCTCCCTCTTCGATAGGAAATCATTAGAAGCAGTGCCACATATTTTTGAACTAGGTTTGGCCAGTTATATTTTTAATTGTGGTAAAATACACAAAACATAAAATTTATCATCTTAACCATTCCTAAGTGTACAGTTCAGTGATATTAAATACATTCACATTGTTGTGCAACGATCACCCCTATCCACCTCCAGAACTGCTCTCATCTTGCAAAAGTGAAACTCTGTCCCCATTACTCAACAACTGCCCATTCCATTCTCCTCCCTGGCCCTGGCAACCACCATTCTACTTTCTGTCCCTATGAATCTGACTACTCTAGATACCTTATATAGTGGATTCACATTTAGTATTTTTCCTTTTGTGACTGGCTTATTTCACTTAGCGTAATGTCTTCAAGGCTCATCCATGTCAGACTTTCCCTCCTCATTAAGGCTGAATAATAGTCATTGTATGTATATACCACATTTTGTTTATCCATTCATCCATTGATGGACACCTTTTGGCTTTTGTGAATAATGCTACTATAAACATAGGTGTAACTGGTTTTTGGCCCCTTATCACATTTTGAAGTGAATATGGCCTAAGAATGTGGCTCATATTTCCCTAGTTCCTCATTGCAATAGTCTGTGGAACTTGTCAACACATGTAGGGACTGGACCCCTCCCCTCTGGCTCATCGGCATTAAGTAGAGTCTTATTAATGGAAATCCACTTTGCTTGGCCTTTTTCTTTTCTTTTTTTCTTTTCTTTCCTTTTCTTTCAAAACGGTGATATTTACAGATATCAGGTTGATATTTACAGATACCAGGGAAAGGGAATGGGGAGAACTAAGACATCTATTGATCTCACTCCTCTGAGAGTCCAGTCCCAATAAACACAGGTGTCAATAATCAATACAGATGGGAGCACTGTTCCAAGAATGAGTCATTCTCCAGGCCAGGAGGCATTAGATGCCTACAGGATCTGGCAGGTAATGCAAATGGTCCCAGTGTGGAACAGGAGAGAGGGTGGAGTGTTGAACCCATGCTATGGGTCAAGAAGGCAGTGGATCCTGTGCCTCAGGTGACTGTTTTCTGAAAGAAATGGGGCCTCAGTGTAGACACATCCCCTAATTTTTCCGAAATGAGAAAGCCTATTTTTGCATAAAATCTCCTACATATTTAAAAAACTCTCTGAGCCAAGTAAAACCTAACTGTAGGCTGATGTGATTTGTGGAATCCAGTATGCAGAAGCGATATAGATCTTTTCTGGACTGAGCACATATCAAGGGCTAGCTGATACTTTATCCAAACTCAAGCCATTTGGAAAATAAGACCATTAATTGCTTTTCTTTTTGTACCTTTTCTTTTGAAAAATTTCAAACACAAATGAACCTCTGTTATTATCCAGCTCCATAACCATCAATATATTGCCAGGAACAGTGAATTTTGAAGCTAGGAAGAACCCTAGGAAATGTCATACTGACCACTGCTCTCATATATTGGAGGACCCATCTGCTGCCTGGACATTTGGTATTAGAATGGTAGAGGTAAGTGTTATATCATTTGGAATCATTACAAAGGAGATATTGGCCCTGTTTCATATAAGAGAAGTTGAGTACTTGCCCAGTTTTAGTGGCAGTGCAGCTGTCTGGTGGCTGAGCTGGCACTAAGTCCAGTCATCTGGGTACCCAGACAAACCTCTTCTCTCTCTTGGCCTCACACAGCTTACATACACATCAGCACCTTTCTATAGTTAGCATCTAGACACTGTCCATTCTGGTGGGAGGCACCAGATGCTCTCAATACCAGAATCCACATGCATGAGCCCATGTAAAAAAAAAAAGGGCAATTCAGCTAGCCTATTCTTCGATAAAGAACAAATCATGTGCTTACCTGCTTTACTGCATCTTCATAGGATGGAGGCTGTGTTATCTCTGCAACTGTTGAAGTTGACTTAGGAAATGTTGGGGATGGAATTGAAAACTTTGGTCCTGCTTTCTCAGAAGACTGCAAACCAGCCATCTGTGTGAGTCAAATGCAGAAACAGACAATTCATGTGTCAGATCTGGTACTGATTCTGTAATGGAAACTATGGGCTAAATTTTGGAAAAATAGACTTAAGGGAAAAAAGAGAGTGAGGACTAAGAAAATAAACCCAGTAGATAAACAATAGTATATATCACTATGGACTTATTGCTGGAGGCATTTTAGAATGGGAACCTCACAGATTCATTTCTCACTCCAAGGTGCACCCTCTTCTGTTAGGAGAAAGCAAGATGAGAAAAGGAAATAAAGTGAGAGTCCAGTCCAATCCTAAGAAGTCCACCACCCCTGGAGTTTTCATAGTAACTTATCCCCCAGCTGTTCCATTCGTGGCTGGTGCCTTTGCAGAGAGCTGCAGGCATGACTGGGAGAAGCTCTTGGAGACCAGCCTCGTGCACCGAGGGTGTCCTGTGGATAGGCCATTCCAGGGTCTCTGTCTCCAGGGCCCTGGCCCCAGCAGGCAGGATGCAGCACTTCTGTGTTGGCCATCACACTTGCTCCTTATCACCTCCTCCCTGCCCTTGGACTCTCCACATCCTTCACATCCCTGACTGCTTCCACCTGTTGAAATGCATCATCTCTTCCTTTTATTGCAGGGCTATTGCACTGTGACCCAACTTTCTGGATCCCTCTGATCCTTTCCACAGATCCATGTATTTCACTTTCTCCACCAGTATGTCCCACACTCCCCTATTTCAGCTTCACTGAAACCGGTTTGTTCACCACGGTGTCTCACAAACATACCAGGGTCATGTTATTCACCATGACTTCTGGAATAACGCTGGGAAATGACTTCTTGAAGTACCTCCTAACTTGTATCATTACATCCATTTAAGGCTTGTTTCTACCTAAAATGTCATTTATCTCTGCCATTGAACCTCATCATTGGGATGAAAAGGATCCACAGAAGAAAGAAGAGGCAAAGTCAGTGCCAAGTTTAAACCTTTTCCCAGATGCCCACCTTTTGCTGTACACCTGGGCTTTGGGGACAAGGATTGCCCATAGCACCATGACTGCTGTCTGCCTGGGCTCCAGAGAAAGGGGGGTGGAGGCCAGAAGGCTGGGGGGAGAAGCTTGCAGGATGGCCCTCGTGTGCCCCTGAGTTCTGTAGAAAGAAAGAAGCACAACTCAAGCGACCATCAGTGGCATTCTTGAGAGCAGCCTTTGTTAACACCTGGCCCTGGTAAGTTCCATTACCAAAGTCTCAGTTCTGGCTTTTATGTATCACCTACTGCTCAAAACGTTCAGGGGCTCCTACATATCCACAGCATAGGGTTCCACTTCTCCCCAACATTACTGTTCAAGACTTTAGTCAAGTACTAGTTCCTGCTGCAAGTTTTAAGCTCCACTAATCTCTTTATGAGCTACCCTCAGCATGCCCTGTACATGCTACCTCCCTATCATTTTTTTTCCCCTCATGGAATGCCTTTTTGCAAACTCTCCGTTTTGAATGCTATACTTCCTTTTAAGTCTACCCCCTTCTCAAAGCCTTACTGGACTTTTCTAGCCCTTCATGATCAATCTGCCACCCCTACCCCCACCGCAATGTCATAGACACAAGTCAGTAATGTTATTCTGGATTGCTCAATATATTTTTATCAAGCGATCACTCATGCCTTCAAAGGGTGCTTTGTAAACTGTAAATCACTGTACAAATGTTGCTTCTTCTGGAGAGTATCGATATCGTTAGAACTGAATGTGCAGAGCTATGTGAAAAGAGCTGTGTTCACCATTGTTGCCCAGGACACGATGTATTCAATAAATGTTGTCATTGATGATGATAATGCATTTAAGTCCCAAATCCTCCCAAATGGGTGTGTATCATTGCTCCACTGGGTTTGCAAAAATGTCTCCTCATTACCTATGGCCACACCTCACACTCCCGGGGTAGAGAACAGTCAGTGTGAAAGGAGCATGTGCTTTAGAATCAGATAATCCCAGGTTCACCTCCCGGAGCCACACTTTCCCCAGCAGCAAATAAAGAATAATGAACCGGAGCCCAAAAGGTTGTTGTGACAATGAACAAGATTACTCATATACATATACATACACATGTATGTGGCAGGAGTGCAATTAATGCCAATTTTCTTCCTACTCCCTTTCTAACGCCATAGCGCTCAGAATCTTTTCATGATGTGATGCAAGCATGACAAACTTGCAGCCTGCCAGCCGGGAGTTTGACATGCTCGATGTAACCTTTTCTCAGACTTAGAGAGATATTCCTAATAATTCTTTGTTTTCATAGACAAAGTCAAGTCTTTGATGATCACCTTGGTCTAGTCTTTGAAACAGTTACTCTTCTGAGCCGTCTCCTACAATTCTGCTCTCATTCTACCCCAGGCACACCGGCTTTCCACCTGATGCTTGAACATTCCATGCACACTCGCTCCTCAGGGCCTTGGCACTTGCTGTTCCTACTTTGTCTAGAATGCCTGCACCCCAAATATTCACAAGACTTTCTCCTTCACTTCTTGAAAGCTTTGCTCAAATGTCCCTGGCCCTTTTACTTAAGGTTGCAAGTTTCCAAACTCCTCACCCCCCTTTCCTGCTTTCTCTCTATAAGATGTATCATCTTCTAATACATTATATATTTTATATATTTCTTAAATTTACTGTCTCCCCATGAGAATAGGGATTTTTTTTTTTTTGGTTAGTTCAGAATTAGTCCCAGGAGACTGGAAGAGGGTCTGGGCTGGCACACAGTAGGTGCTCAGTAAATATTTGCACTCTGCAGACCAACCACACAGAGACCAGTAAGGTCTGGTAACTTCCCGTCGGCTCTTGGAATGAATTGGTTGGGCCTATGCTGAGGCGTGGTGCCAAGGAATCCTAAAACAGAGTTTGGCAATGTACAGCCCTGGGAGCCAAACCTGATTTTGCAAATAAAGCTTTATTGGAACGCAGCCACGTGCACTTGTTTATACGTTGTCTGCAGCTGTTTTCATGCTACAGGGGAGAGTTGAGTAGTTGTGACAGAGACCATAATGCCCCCAAAGCCAAACATATTATCCATCTTTTTACAGAAACAGTGCACCAGCCTCCCTCCCAGAGAAGCAAGTCCGCCTACTCTGAAGGCCCCAGAATCTTGGTGTCGGGGAGGTGCTGTTGGACTTGGAAAGTTCCAACACCAGCTCTCAGCTCTGCAAATCCACACCCCGCTTCCAGAAAGGGGGTGCAGCGGGTGTGGCCAAGGAGTTCTTACCTGTGCAGTACACACCTGGGTGCTGGCAGGTGAGGAGGCCCCGTGCCCTTCTCCCTGAGCAGCTGCGGACGAAGGTAGGAAGTAATGGTTGTTCGGCGATGGGGGCAAGCTGATGTGCTGCGGGCTTTTCACGGCCCCGAGCGGCGAGTGCTGCGGCGAGCACTGTGGAGGCCGTGTCCTCCTGCTTGATGGGCGCCCCCAGGAAGGGCGGCGGCTCCTGCTCGGCGGCGCCCTTGCTCCGCTTCTGCTTCTGCAGCTGCAGCCGCAGCTCCTCCACGTGCCGCTGCTCCTGCTGCAGCTTCCAGGTGAGCTCGTTGATCACCTTCTGCTTCTCCACCAGCATCTTGTCCTTCTC